GATCTAATTCTTTTTATATTCAAATAAATGAATAATTTGGATAAAATTGGTCTTCCTCTTCTTATTTGCATTTTTCCTTTACTACAAGATTATTTTGGAACAGTTGAAGCATTAAAAATTAAGATAAATAGCAATCTGAAAGAGATTAGTTAAATAGTGATATTGTCAGTCAATTTATGTAGAATCTGATAATATGATTGAAAATACTGATTGAATTCTTGGCCTTGCACTGGGCAGCTTTACATTTGTGCCAAGTGCTTTTTGGACATCATTGTACAGTGGTAAAAGTTCTTCAATTGCCATGAAAGTTTTTAATCAGACTCTGTATGGTGCTGCCATTTGCTGGTGCTATCGGCAACGAATTAGCTTGCCTTTGTTTCTGAGTGAATCTACCGTCTAAAATCACTATTTCTGACAATATTTGCGTTTTGTTGAGGGTAGGCTAGGCAATGCACGGTTAACTTCTTAGCACGTGTGTACAACAGATTTTTTTTAAAAAACACTTGCGATTTTTGGTCAGGAGTTGCTTGAAGCATAGCACAGCGTTGCTGTCTATCGGCATCAGGCAGTTAGTTTGTCAATTATCCGCCATGGGCCCACGAATCGTGAACCCATTCATTTTCCTATGGCAATCTAGCAACTCATTAAAAATGCACGCATGTGCAGTGGGCTAGGTGTGACGCCATGCAATGCATTTCTGGGGGTGACCAACCTTTTATCATATCTGTTTATTCATTTTAATTAGGAATTATTTTAATTAGGAATATTCGTCCACAGCTGTGTAAGGAATGAGACCATTAAATTAAGGTGTACGTGCAGGTCATGAGGTGAATCGATGACTCATAGGTGATCAAGTACGTTACGTGTAAGGTACAAGATAAAACGCACAGTAATACGTGACAACCGGCATTGAGTCAGAAAAAAACGAAAACGAAACTAAAAATGAACATGCAAATACATCATATGTATATACACTTTTTATAAACACCGACACACACTCTGCTTAAATAAAATTAGATTAGGGTGTCTTAATTGTTTTTTCACAAAGTGATCAAAAGATTATGATCAAATATTGCGTCATTTCTGTTAGGGGCCTACCTCCATCGTGAATACGCATGCCAATCGTTCCACCTGTGTACAGGACAAGGACTCTCGATTCATGTTTGTAGTTGAGATCAGTGCTCTTCACTTCCGTGTCGGTTGTCTTTAACTTCTTCGGTCTGTATGACGGATCCATGGAAGTTTTCCCTTCAAAGTCGGAGGCAAGGGAACCAGCACCATTTTTGCATGCCATTTTAATGATTGCATCGTTCACTTCACTTGTTATCTTTTTGCACAAGAGATACCATCTAAGACGCTCCTAATTCTGAGTAGCCCAAAATAACCTAAACATTTATTAATTACAGACACTTTCAAATTTATTACTAAGATAAGTTTTTTAAGAAAGGTTGTAGGTGGAATTAAAATTCCACTCACTGCATCTGCAATCCTCTGTGCTTGAAATACATGTAGGAGGTGTTGATATTATCTATGACATATTTTACCTTTATCAACCAGCGGTTCATACAAATGTTTGTTTTTTTTCTATATGTAAACAATTGCCATATGTCACATTAAAGTAAGATAAACAACTAAATGTCCTAAAGACACTAACCCACATACTCTTTTTCAACTTACCTACAACCTCTCCAATGCTAGCCACACTTATTCTGCGCAACAGGCGCCTTGGTTTTCCTTTGCCGACAGCATATAGGCCACCGGTTGCCATTTTTTAAAGCAAAAAATAGAATTTTAAAATTGGGCCAAATAAAAACGCCTGGCATTTTCCAAAATATAGCACTGTTCGTTTAAATGCTGACCAAAATAAAACCATCACAACAGATCGCTGCTCAGCACTGGCACTTTTCCAAATTACATATTCGACGAAAGTCAAGCGAAATATTCAGTGCGTTTTGACCCTAAGAGTAGGCTGAATGCGTTTGAGTTGTAAAGAACGGACAATGCAATTTCGCACCAAGTAACAGGGTTACGTGGGCACCTATTTCACGGCACGTATCTCACCTACTTTTTTATAGTCAACAAACTAATCTGTAAATATTATGCAAGTTTTCAAGGTCACGCACAACCCTTTAAATGAAGTACAGTGTACCCACGGAGAATACCCATGGAAAACGGACTTTCGCCGCGTTTTCAATACTTTTGGATTTTTTAAATGTCCAAAACGTACAACATTTACTAAAATATATATTTTTTCATTCTAAACATTTTGTCTAAACACGTTTTCCACATTATCATGCACATTTCATCGGGACTAAATTCATTCCTGCCTTCCTTTTACAAGTTTTTGGAAGTCATAAAATGGTAACAAATTGCAAAATTCAATTTATTTTGAAAGCATCTCATTCGTTTCCATACAATTTAGGCTCAAACGTTATTGATCCCGGATCCTAGTGGAATATAATTGCCCCTAGTTTTAATACTATTCATTCATTCATTCATTCACTTGGTTTTTATAGAAGCCTTGGCTTCCAGAATGTCTGAAATTCACGTTCATATTTCTCTGCCGTCCAACAATGCCTTGGTCACGGCACTCATTTTAGTCATTTTACGCTGACCGGCGACTGCAAATTAGGCCTACGCGCGCTGATCGGCTTGAACTGGTCTGAGTATAGGCCTATCTCTTATCCTACAAATTATGTGATCCCTGTTTATGAATCTTCTATCACTTCAATAGATCAATACATTAAATTGGCCTAAATTGATCAAAATTGCTTCCCTCCCGTTTATGTAAAATATTTTTTTATGTATTAACGCAATAAAATTCAAGAAAAATCCCCTTTTTCGTTCTTTTATTCACAACTGCAAACGCTTGTACTTTTATGCTACGCCCCCGTTTATTGTCAGTTTAACCAACGAGTTATAACTCCTTGGTTTGTGTAAGATGACTCCGGACCTAAGAGGCCTAAGATATTTTCATAAAAGGTGTGCACTACTGCAGTACAACATGGTGCCAACGTTCGCTTTTATAATTTTCTTTATTATGAGCTGCGGGCCGTTAATTGCTATGTAGGCCTACCAGAGGCATTATTTCGTCTCTTTACTGATAAAATCGGAAGCTTTTCAAAAAGATTTCCTAGCAAGAGATTGTAGCACTTCTAGCTGTGATCTAAGATCTAGATCTTAGCTGTGATTAAACATGCGCTAAAACAGTGTTGATAGCGGTTCAGGTGAAGATCTTGAAATCAAAAATACTATTTTCAGAGCAAAAACGCTGCCGTGACGTCTTGACCTCGAATCAAATTCGCGGGTGTACCTAATTACCGCAAATTCGCCCCGATTTATTTTTGGTGTTTGGTGCCTACCTACAGTGGATTATCGTTTCATTGCCTTAAAAGAATCACAGGGTCAGACAATTTTCACTGTGCACGAAGATAATCAGTTAAGAAATTTCCACAAGATATTTCACACCACGAAAGATGCGCCAACAAATAGATAATCGCGATTGTACGTCGAAATATCAAAATGAATGGCCTGCCGTTCGATCCTTTTAACCAATCAAAACAACGGAAAGGGGGTCACGTGACCTTCCCACCAGGCCTTGCAATGTAAACAAAGCCGCATGAACGAATCTAACGGAGATTCTGAAGAGGAAGACGTGGAATATTCGCCTACTCAGAGGCGGATTTAGAGGGGGGGGGGGGCTTCGGTTTCTGAAAAAAATATCATACCAATATTCCCCTCTTGAAATTAGAATTTTGACTAGCTAAACCATAGTTCTAAACCGTACCAAATTTAAAGGGCACTGTGTGCTTTACAAAACACCAAAAATTTGTCACCCACACCAAGGGGGCGATGGTCGGCCTTGCATCCGAGGCCTGTCGTTCTGGACCTGAGAAAACCTGTCAGGTCTAAATGGTTAAAAACTCGAAGAGAAGTGAAATCCCACATTTGTGTTTAAAAATATTCTGCATTTTCAACACCCCAGAAACCAAGTTACAGAAAACAGACACCATGCAATGTTCACATGAGCAGCAATTTAAAGATGAAACATATGAGAAAAAGTATTACTTCTAGACAGTAACATATATAATTTATTAAGCTTTAGGTGACAAACTTACACAAGTTAACTGTGTACTTTTTATTTTGTTTCAGGTAAACAAATGTATAAATTAAAGAAAAAATCAACATTACTTAAAATGAGAAATAATTTCTAAAAACAGTTATACAAGTGCATGTACCAATGTTAATAGTTTGTGACAAATAAAAATATTTTAGGAAAAACAATATATATATATATATATATATATATATATATATATATATATATATATATATATACAGTATAATGTACACCTTTTTCCTGGAATGAAGATGAAACAAATTATAATGTGAAAAAAGGTTAAACAAAAAAGCTTTGATAATTGGTATATTGCACACATTCAGCTTTAATGTACCTATCCTACAAAAAAGCCTTACAATTGTTTTAATGAAAGGGGAATACTAATACCTGAATGAGAAAACCTAAGAATTAACCTTGTAAAGTATAAACAGGATTTTTGTGACACTTTATGGCAACTAATAACTTCCCCTAAGAAAATCTGAGATTCGTACTAAAAAACACCTTCATATAATAAGGAATAAAACGATATACACGTACCTCCAGAAGGTCAAATTAAATAAAAGATACTCTGTTATGTTCATACATCAACATATAATTTGCAAAAAGATTTAAAAATGGAACTGAAATGGTTTGAGGTATGTCGACGTGCACTGATAATTATCATACTGGAATTATTTGGTATGGTAAAAATACCTGGTATTTGTAAAAAGATGCTACACACTAATAATAGAAATTATGTACATATGTGCTTTTTGTCCTACTTCAGAATCATTGTTTAGTTGCTCCTGCACTTGGGTTTTATATTCTATTTTGATAATTGTTATAGTTCTAAATGAATGGCCACTCATTTAGAAGACTGTGATTTCCCATATATTTAATTTTTTTAGGTCTGAATTGTGAAATAACAGTAGCTCTGCAGGATTTGCAGACATAGTAAGTATGACTATGGGAAACTCTAAAACAGGCAATGTACCTTAAACATTTATAAGATAAGAAAAAAAGCCTCTTAGGACTAGTAATCTTACAGCACAATATCTTCTTTCATCAAATAGTCAAAATACCAAAACAGTGCAAATAATTAGCATTATTAAAATGCAGCACACAATCAGGTGTTTTCATATTTTATATTACATTCATACAGGACAATAAATAAGTTAAGTGTCGGTGGAAGTGCTTCTGCTAACAGTGGGCTTCACAGCGTCCAGGATCAGCTTGGAGATTTCTCTGTGTCCTTTAGCAGTTGCCTCCTTGAGTGGAGTATATCCAAACCTATCTTCTGCTGTGACACTTACCCCTTGTTCTAACAGAAACTCCACTGAATCTTGATGTCCATGAGAAGCTGCCTGAAAAAAATTACCCAATAATTGTTTTTTTTAAATCAAATGTCATATGACAAAATTTCAAAATGGACATTAAAAGGGTTGCAGGTCTCAGCGTCCATGTTCATTTACACAGTGAAGAAATATGAGTATTTTGTGACATGAAAAGTATATAGTAAGAGTTTTTAACAGGTTTTCCTTACAACATGTAGTGCAGTTCTTCCGTCGTAGTCGCCCTGACTTAGATTAGCACCAGATAAAGCCCAAGCTTTGAGGGAATCCACATCATCTTGAGCTGCAGACCTACAAAGTTAGTCAAATATCTATTTTTAAAAAAAATCAGGAAAAATAATTTTTTGAAGCATTTACATACAGACATCAAAGAACCATGTTACCATTGGTAAAAATGTTTCTCACTTCAGCTAAAAAAAAAAAAGAAAATTAANGCACCAGATAAAGCCCAAGCTTTGAGGGAATCCACATCATCTTGAGCTGCAGACCTACAAAGTTAGTCAAATATCTATTTTTAAAAAAAATCAGGAAAAATAATTTTTTGAAGCATTTACATACAGACATCAAAGAACCATGTTACCATTGGTAAAAATGTTTCTCACTTCAGCTAAAAAAAAAAAGAAAATTAATTCACCTTAATTTTTAACTGATTATAAGTATACCCTTTTTATCATTAAATGATCCATTATTTGACTAAAACAAAAATTTTGAGTGATTGATAACAGCTAGCAGTAGCTAGAAAAAATCAGTGCTATAATTTAAATTTTCTTTTTTCATTTCAACCTACAGGCATAACTCTGAGCCCAATTTATATGGGGGTAGAACCAAATGAGCTCCAGTCTGAACCAGCAGGCGAACAATATCAAGATGTTTCAACTTGACTGCATCGTACAAAGGTGACCGTCCATTGTTGTCCCTAACATGGAGAGGAGCGCCATGCTGTAGCAGATACTGGACAATGTGGAAGTGACCTTTCCCACAGGCAATGTGAAGAGGACTCCTGCCACTGTAGTCCACCATGCCTATGTGACCTCCCTTTGGGAAATGAAATCTTTATTTCAAACATTAAAAAGAAAAGGGGTTTAAACCTATAATTCTGCATTGCATCACCATATCATCTTCAACAGGTGTGACATATCATTCTTCTTCATAAGACTAATAATAGTAATAATAACAATTATGACAAATTCAAGTTTAAGGATAAAAATAGACACCTTAAATTTTAGAATATATATTCAAGAAAAATCGAGTGCTTGATGCGAAGCAAAATTGTTCAAAGTTGAGGAAGACAACTATATGCACAAGAAAACAAAGAGATTTCTAACCCCTTCTCTAATTTTTTGGAGTACGGCCAGATCACCATTTTGGGCTGCAGTGCACATCAATGATGGAAATATGGCATCCTTCAGTGTTTGCATTTCCTATAAAAACACAAACATAAATTAAGTTTCTTCTTTTTATTTTTTCTGTATAGTCTTTGTACTGAAACAAAGAAATTGTATAACTAATCAAGGTATATTCTACCTAAAGCATTACAACATCATTTGAATGTCTTAGATGATTATTTTATTGAGAACAATAATCAATACTCAATTAATTTAAATAATAATAAAAGTAAAGTAACTTGCTTCTTTGGAGCTAATTTTCATCAGCTTGCCTAAACTGTCGATAAGTTTGAAATCTGACACCAAGCTCTCTGTCCTTGCAGTTTTCAATTCACCACGGATGTTCTGGGATAACTTCTACAAAACAAAACAAAAAACATGTATGCACATCACACTACAGTCATTACTCAAAATATGCCACAGTCTCCTATTCTACTCCTTGCAGCAACCCTCACTTGCTGGGAAAATCTTGATAAAGCCTTTTGTTCTATATTTTCACATGTTCCACCAAACAACACCCTGAGCTTCAGAGATAACTTGACACTAACCTCTTCTCTATAGCCTATCATCATCGTGTCAAGTTACCTCTGACCACATTCGATTGCCCCCGCCGCCCGCCAATCAAATTTAAAGCCCGCACTCAATGACTCATTGAACGATCTAGCCAATGAACGCGAACGAGTCAAAGCGCACTTTGTTCAAATCCGGACCAATCAGAGATAAGGCTCAATATCAGGGACTTGCCGTAACCTGTGGGCAGCACGCAAAATACATCATCCCTCAGTAGATAATGATGCAGGGCCTCAAACTGCTCTGGTTTCAATTCCGATATACTCATATTTTGCAAAGAATCAAGAGATAACTTAACAAATTATTTTACGTAGTCACTCGTAGAAGACGCCATGCTTTTTGTGTACGGTTATGCACTCGGCACTACTCGGATGTCTCCGCACTCGACAATAACTTTGTTGTTAGTATGGAGCTTGCGGAATCAGCCGAGGATTACCGATTGACGGTCAACCAATAAGCGTTTTCACCAAACTTTGGTGAAAATTTTTCGAAACTGGGATTTGATTGGCTTATATAAACTAGGTCAAACTATTTTCGTCAGAGGTAACTTGACACGATGAAGATAGGCTATTGTGAAGAGGTTAGTGTCAAGTTATCTCTGAAGCTCAGGGTGCCAAACAAAGGCATTGCTTCAAATTTCAAAAAAGATTCCCTGAACATTCACTTCATTGCACAAATACTCTCTATCAAACTAAAATACGTAGTTGTTGCTATGACAACAGGGATGCCCCTTTAAACCCTTTATTCCTTTAGCAAGCGCATTAATATTTGATTCACAATTAAAATTTCATAAAGTCTTTTAAATCATAAAATAAATAATAATAATAGTAAAACACATTCCTCTTACCTTCCTCTTGTGCTCTAAACTCCAGTCTTCTCTTCCTATTACAAAGGCCAGCTTGGTCAGTGCTGCCTCAGGTGTCATGTCGGAGCCTGGGATCACGCCTGCATCAATCAAAGCCTGGAAATATAAAATACAAATCACAGGTCAATAACTAACAAATCTATTGGTGTATTAAGGACATATGCAAAATAAAAATACTTTTCATCTTTTATTTTTTTTAAGTGCGAGTGTCTTATATGTATGCACAAGTTCTTAACTGATAAAATCTAAAATAATAGTTTTCCTTTGATTTTTGCAAACTGAATTGGGTATTCTAAAAATATGTAAGTAGGGGACCATTCAGACTGAGAAGAGCAAAGTGCTAGTAAAGACCTAAATATGGCGGACCTACATGAAAGGGAGACTGCTTAATTCTGTAATGGTCTCTCCGCCTCTTACACGCCTCCCCACGCGTTGTCCCTCGACCAGTTGAATTGAGCCAAGATTTAATTACTGTGCCCCTTCAGGGACGCCGCATGGGGAGGCATCAAAGAGGCGGAGAGACCATTACAGGATTAAGCGGTCTTCGTGTAAGTCCGCCATATTTAGGTTACGGCCTTACTAGCACTCGGCTCTTCTCAATCTGAGCGGTCCCTAGGACATCTTACCACACTAAGCCACAAGCTTAGCTGCTGCATTGGTGTCAAAAAACAAAAAACAAAATAACATTTTCAAGAGTATTTTTCTTAATTATCAGCAAACCTTTCCTGTGGCATAACTTGGGTTAACAGAGCCTCTGTGACACTGGGTGATGTTAAGCAGCAGCACTCCTCTTTCCGTGGCCTCTGAGAACACTTGCATTAAGTCCTTTCTGGAATCTGGAGCATTTCCAGCCCCGTAGGATTCCAGGACCATTCCCTTGAGTGGAGGTGCCAAAAACTGGCGAACCTATAATAATAATAATAATAATAATAATAATAATAATAATGATTTAAACTTTATCAATAAAAATAATCAAAATTCTTATCAAAATCTGAAAATTTACTATGACATTGGACATCTTTGAACCTAAAGCATTGATTTCTCTCTATATAAAATCCATACATGATATAATGACCTGCATAAATAAACATTTAGTGAATATCTTTTTTAATTGTCCATATAATTCCCTTAGAGCGTGGATATTTACTGTTTCATTTAGTTTTAGCATTTTTTCATGATCTTAACCCAATAGAACATTTAAACTTTCAAACCTGACTAAAAAGAACTTATTCAACTAACCGTAGCGGTGGTGATGCTGGGGAAAAGACGGAGTAATCCCACACTAGGACAAAGGTTTGTATGCAGGGTACATTTTTGAGTGGTGTTGCTTGTAAAAATCTCATCCCAATCCACTGTAAGTAAACATAAAATCAAGAAAAACTTGAAATACATATTGTACCATGTGAATCATATCATGGGTACAAACCTAAAATAGACAGTCAATCTAGTACAGTACATTGTAACTGAGATAGAAAACAAGAATCAAACTTGTTATAAACAATTTATTTTTAAAATGGAATTTCTGAAGAAATGATATTCACCTTAATACTTTCAAATACACATTTTTATAAGTTTTAAATATCATACCATGAATCTTAGTCTCTAAAACAGCAAGGGGAGGAAAGTTTGGGGAATGGAATGCATCAAAACTGCTACTATCAAATTTGGTTGAACGGTTTCCTCTAAGAAGCTTATTGTTGAAAAATATCATTACCTAGAAATAAAAAAAAACTCTATAGAATCAAGATCCGGATAAAGTATGTACTTTGTTCATAAAAAACTTTGGTTTTCATTCATTTCAATGTAGTAAATTAAATGCTTTAAAAGCTGCTTAATGAAAAAGATCAATATTTGCAATCTCATACTGACTTTATCCTTTTAAGTATTATTATACTGAATGTGAAACTTAACTTATATTGCATTTTTAGCAATTAAAAGACTTTGTGCAGAATACATATCAATACACACATACACACTGAGAATGTGTTACCTCTGGAATGCAGTAGTTTCCAGCCATAATGAGAGCACCAAGAAGATTATCCCTGCCGTCACTACGAGTCTCAAAGATAGGAATCTGAATAAATAAGCAAACAGCATTTGGTAGTAAGCCACATGCTGAAAATTTAGATTGATGAAATGAATAGATAAAGATATTATCTCCTTTTCTGTGATATATCTCTCTTTTGTGTACACTATATAGGAAATATTTGAAAATTCACCTGCTAAATTTTCTTATGCTAAAAAGGGCACAGTTTTTCAAAGATAAAAACCCAATTTCTAGCATTACCAACTTATGCAGTACCTAATATTCTGTTCATTTTAACCACAATTTGACTTTGATTTTCATGGAAGGTGATGCAATCCATAAATGTATGTTGGCCCACACGTGTGTGTGTGTGTGTGTACTTGTGTGTAGGGGTGGCATAGGGGGAAGGGTATTTTTATCGCGTTCTAATGTGATTTTCTTAATGCCTCAATAATGAGAACAAAAACTTACCTGTGAGCCAGTAAGAATGATAGGTTTTCCCAGGTTCTCAAACATGAAAGACAAAGCTGAGGCTGTGTAGGCCATAGTATCTGTCCCATGAAGTATAACAAACCCATCAAAATCCTCATAGTAAGTCTGAATGAAAAAAAAACTGTCATGTTTACAGAATTAAAAAGAAAAACAATAATAAAAAATAATTATAATAAAATAAAGCATGCACACAATGTATAAAAAAATTGTCACTTTTTCTAATACTGAAAGGATTCAAAAAGAAGCAGATGCACTGGACTCTTAGATTTACCTTAATGTCTGAGGCAATCCTAGCCCAGTCATCCATGGTCATATTGGAGGAATCCAGCAGGGGCTCATACTCATACACACAATATACTACATTTTTCTTTTCCTTGCTTAAACTGAAAAAAAAAGTATATTATGAAGGTTTTATTTTGTTTATATAGTGTATGTAATGCCTTAACTGATACACTCCATAAGTATAATCTATTTTGCAAAATGTGTTATAAGTTGGTTTGTCTCTTTTTTGACTTTGAAAATGTGAATGTAGTCATGGGATCAATATCTTTTTTAAATAGTTTTTGCTCAAATATTTGATTCCAAACCTTGGAAATAAAACAGATGGGTGACATAAATGAGCCTCTATATTTTCCCTAATCTTAAAAAGCTTTTTAGTGTAATCTGAGTGGGGCACGTCATAATTATTGCTGAAATGAATTACTCACGGCATACACAATGGTGACTGCATCCATGGGGTTGGTGTTTGACCTCCATCACATATACTGTGTTTAACTAAGTACTCCTGGTCATGGAATATTGATAATTTTCTTAACTCACTGACAAGAAAGTTTGGTTCTGGGGTATAAACTATAAAGAAAATATAATACCATATCAAAAAAGTTGTTTACTAATGCTTAAATACATGTAAAATGAACCACAAATATAATCAAATGAAAGGAAGGGGTGTCATTATGACATCAACTATTGAAAAAATTGATGCAATACAGGTAATTACTGGGTGGCGGATCCAGCAACCTGTAATCATATCTGTTTATTCATTTTAATTAGGAATCAGTCATTTTGTAAATGGAATATTCCTTCACAGCTGTGTATATTAAAGATGTGGTGTATATACAGGTCATGAGGTGAGTCAATGATTCATAGGTGATTAAGTACTAGTACGTTACATGTACGGTATAAGATAAAACGGAAACGTGACGACTAAAATGACCTAGCATGAAAATTCATGCGTTAGCACTCCTATTGACGATTTTGATATGTACAGGCCGTGCTAACAGCCAGTACATATGAGAATTGTCAATAGAAGTGCTTACGCATGAATTTTCGTGCTAAAAATTAACATGCAAAATCATGTATACAGTACATACACTTTTTATAAACACCGACACATACTGCTTAAATAAAATTAGACCAGGTTGTCTATATTGTTTTTAACAAAGTGATTAAAAGATTATGATCAAATATTGCGTCATTACTGACACTGTTACCTCCATCATGAATACACATGCCAATCGTTCCACCTGTGTACAGGGCCAGAACTCTCGATTCATGTTTGTAGTCGAGATCAATGCTCTTCAGTTCTGTGTCGCTTGTCTTTAACTTCTTCGGTTTGTATGAAGGATCTATGGAGAAAGACTTCCCTTCAAAGTCGGAGGTAACGGAACAAGTACCATTGCTCGACGTTACTAGATTGCATGCCATTTTACTCGAGATAATGATTGCATCGTCCGCTTCACTTTTTCTTATCTCTTTGCACAAGAGAGTCACAGATACCATCTAAGACGCTCCCAATTCTGAGTCCCCCCCCCCCCCCAAAAAAAAAAAAAAAAAAAAAACCCTAAACATTTACTAAATTAATACTTACGGATACTTTCGAATTTGTTACTAAAATAAAACTTTAAAGAAAGATTGTAGGTGCAACAAAAATTCCTCTCACTACATTTGCAATGAATGCAATGTGATTGAAATATAGGCCCGTTGATGTAAGCTAATCTATGAAATGATTTATCTTTATCAACCAGCGGTTCATACAAATGGTTTTCTCTATATGTAAACAATAGGCATATGTCACATTAAAGTAAGATAAACAACTAAATGTTCTTAAGACACTAACCCACAAACACGTACTTTTTCAACTCACCTACAACCTCTCCAATGCTAGCCAAACTTATTCTGCGCAACAGGCGCCTTAGTTTTCCTTTGCCGACAGCATACTGGCCACCGGTTGCCATTTTTTAAAGCAAAAAAATAGAATTTTTAAAGTGTGCCAAATTAAAAACGCCTTGGCATTGAACCCAAAATATAGCACCGTTCGTTTAAATGCTGATCAAAATAAAAGCATCACAACAGATCGCTGCTCAGCACTGGCACTTTTCCAAATTACATATTTGTTGTGTTGTAACGTAATGTTTTTGAATAAAGAAAGCCAGAGACGCAAAATTTTAGAGTAGAGGCCTACTATTGATACACACTTTTCTTTATTTTCCTGCTCCGCGTCTCTGACGTCTCATGAGGTCCACGTCTCGCGGTTACGTCGCGACGTGATATTCTTATAACAGCGCTTCAGCTAAAACATTACATTATTCGACGAAAGTCAAGCGAAATATTCAGTGCGTTTTGACCCTAAGAGTAGGCTGAATGCGTTTTGAGTTGTAAAGAACGGACAATGCAATTTCGCACCAAATAAAAGCATTTCGTGGGCAGCTATTTCACGGTACGTAACTCACCTACATTTCTTATAGGCAACAAACTAGGTCTGTAGATATTATGTAAGTTTTCGAGATCACCGTCACACAACCCTTTAAATGAATCACAGTGTATCAATGGAGAATACCCATGGAAAACGGACTTTAGCAGCGTTTTCAATACTTTTGAATTTTAATGTCCAAAACGTAGCCTACAGTATAAACCTCAATATATATATTTTTTTATTCTAAACACGTTTTCCAGATTATTATGCATATTTCCTCGGGGCTAGATTCATTCCCGTCTTCCTTATATAAGTTTTTGGCAGTCATAAAATGGTTACAAATGGCAAATATTTATGAATCATCTAGTAGATCGACATGTTAAAATGGCCGAAATTGATCAGAATAGCCCACCCCCTCCCTTTTACGTAGAATATTTATTCCTACACGCAATAAAATTAAACAAAAGTTCCCCTTTTCGTTTTTTCATTCACAACTCCACGCGCTTGTGCTTTTATGCTACGCTTTATTGTCAATTTAACTGCACTGTAAGTTTGTGTATAAGACCCCATTCCCAGAAATTAGATCGATCCAAACTACATCGACCTAACTCCCAGGGGGTTCACGCTAAATAGCTGTCAGCCGAGCGGGCACGAAAATTAATTACCCCCTTACAGCTTGTAGTAGGCGGGGTGGACATTTAAGCCGGATTATCTGACAGTAATCTAGTGAGACTCCCCACGGGGATAAATCGATCTAAAATCTATGGGAATACGCCCTAAGATGACTCCGGACCTAAGTAAGTTATTTTCGTGAAAGGTGTGCACTACAATATGGTGACAGCGTTCGCTTTTATAATTTTCCTTATTATGAGGGACGGGCCGTTAATTGCGATGTACCATCAAACAAAGACATTATTTCGTCTCTTTGCTGATAAAATTGGAAACCTTTCAAAAAGATCTACTTGAAATCAAAAACAACATTCAGCCCAAAAGCACTCCCGTTATGTCAGCTTGCATCAAATTCCCCCGGTTGTATTTTTGGTGTGACCGCATTATCTCATTACATGACATATTCCTCTCCATTTTAGTAGTGGAATAGGAAATACATCCTATATCAATCTACCTTAACAGAGCTCCGTAACTCTAGAGCATCGCGAATTGCGACCGAGCGCAAGCACGGAGATTCGCCTCTATTCCATAACCCGGGATTTACTCGCCCCATAAAATAGCCTCGAAATGAAAGGTGATATCGCTATCGCAATGCTTTCCAGTTACGGAGCCCAGGCGTCGAGACTAAAAGGCACGATTCACATCTTAAATTCAGGTTCCACGTGAGTGCAGAGAAACTGTTGTGATCAATGATGTTGACAAACTCAGTTACGTATTTTATTTCAACAACACTGGGCTAAGTTACAATATATGCTGCAAGCAGTGGATTAAAGAAAAGACTGACATCTATGAATAATCATATACAGGAAAGAAGATCCTTCAAGCTCACATTTATACAAAACACGATGTTCAAACTGTATTGTACAAAAAGTAATTCAGCGCCACAAATGGTTCAAATGTTCATACTCACACTTCTCATTTTTAAAATATTTCAATTTTCATATATTTACATCCTACCTCGGTAGGAATCCCTCCCTTGAACTCTGTCAGTTTGGGTAAGTAGACTAAAATTTGTTTAAAGAATTTCCATCAAAATCTGTTTTCTGTGTGCAACTTACCAAATAATTGCAATTTCTATCTTCTCATTATGCATTAGGTTTCACATTTGTTAAGGTACTTATCAAATAGACCACATTTATATACAGGTATACTTTTTCATATCCATACTTATGTTACGATCATAGATAATCAAGTCCAACAATCAAGCTAAGGTTTACAGATGGATTTTGTATGAAATCACCATATAGCACAACAGGTTAATATAAAGACTGTCAACACTCCTCTTTCCAACCACATTTATCATCAAGCAGATCTACGTAATTCAAGATAGTTCCCTTATCAATTAAATCTCATTCTAATAAATCTGGAGATCATATAATGAAGCATAACGTATAGATTTGATTGTACCTAACCTGCTTGGCATAAGTGGCCACTGCCACAAGTTAAACTAAGATTGGCACCTTACAAGAACTGTGACTGAGGAAAGAGAACGCACAAAAAACAATGAAATATAATGTTACATAATGTAATTAAAAGTCAATGTGAAAACAATGTAAACCTAAGACTAACTGAGGGTTCTGGCAGGTGTCTTAAATCATGAGCTTATTAAGAAGTGTAAACATTACTGTACATCATTTCCGAGTACCATTCTTCTAGGTAAACTACACTTCCACTTTTCTTCCTAGAGCTAAGGTATAAGAATAACTATAAGTCCTGCATAAATAGGCAATTGCTCAAAGCAAATCTTTTTGTAGTTTTGTACTTGTAACAACTGTCAAATGGGTGCCACTTCTCTGAAGATCACATCCCACTGTGCATGTCACCTTGTGAAAAATAAATAACATGAAAAAAGAAAGAAAAATAGCAGACTTGCAAAATTTGTCTTCACATTTAAACACACTTGTCCACCTTCATTCACATTGAACAGCAGTCCCATGTTTGGGCACAACATCAAAGTACATCAATCCAAATTGAAATGGACCAAGAGTTGGGCTCAGCTTGCGTCAAATGCCATCTAGTGTACAATGTTCCACAGTTTGCTTTTCCTTTGGGTACCCTCTGCTAGACTTTGGTATTCAGCTTCCCCAGTGTGTTGTTCAAATCTTCATTACTGTATTGTACAAACAAGGGTCCATGGCCTCTCAATTACTGTGTCTTCTGTTTATCCTTCTTGTTAAGGAAAGGGAGTTTTGCTTTCACTCTGAAATGTAACATCATTCAATGAATCACCTGTAAGTCAAATTATCAAAACCTTGACTTGGAATCACTGTAACCTAAATTCTGTTTTAACTATTAAGCTGCAGATTTCCAAACAAATAAATTTTAGATGAAAAATATTAAAGAAAAACAACTTACTGCTCCACTACATTCATAATTTGGGTTTTAGCTTTATCCAGGACTTCATCAATCTGAACCTATAACAGAAAATATAAGATGTTATTTAATCACTGCTAGTTTGATTCATTTCCTATGCCAATATTTCTTTCTCATGTAAACAGGAAGATGTGGCAGTTATGTCAGACAATAAGAACTAAATTATCTTATTGGAAATTATATAAAACATCAAAAGTTTAAATTCAAGCAATGATTTGTGAGAAGGAGCAATTTTTTTTCTTGAGATAAATTTGACTAGGTGAAAAGATCCCAGATTTTTACATCTTTTGAAGCAACATTTCAATAGAAAGTAACAAGCAAAATGCACTGCAAAAACAACAAGTAGTAGCTGTAACAGCAAGCAGGTATGCAAAGTAAAACTGAAATATTAGCATCGACATATCCAGACTGAAGAACTGGTTTTATCCTGCTTTTCTAAGGTTTCTGCAAACCATCATTTATAGGAAGCACTGCTACCAATTAATTTTGCAATGGAGTTGACTCAACAGCACTTTAATGCTTAATCCAAATTTAGATTTACACCTATGAATCAATAATTTTCTTTTTGCCACATATGTATTCTCTATAATAAAGAACTGTCAATAGAACATCAAAGCACTCTGTCAAATTTTTCAGGTCTCTATGACAGCCACTACTAGAAGTAGGCCATAATTACAGCTTGTGCATCACAGCTCGTAAATCACCAAGCTTACATTACAATGATGATTAATTCTACAGCAGCAAAGCAATAACTTTATCCAAACCTACCTGATATGTTTCATAAACCTTGGGTAATGTAAAAACAGCAACTACAGCTGCAAATAAATAGTAAAGTATTTTTAAAAATAAAATTACAATGAAGTTCTGTCAGAAACTAGCTATTATGTACAGACTACAAGTCTTATCTCTCAATAAGACACACGCAGGCTCGACTTAAATCATTTTATTGCACTTGAAGACTGCATTTACATGAGCATCTGATAAATGAATATTGGCTGAATCAATTATGATAGCTACGGCTTGAACATCTCTTGGGAACAACATGAATCACCTCTCTCAGTCACTAGACAAAAATGGAAAGATCATTTTTTTTCTTTTTGAAGCACTGTTTAACATACATCACACTAAAGAAAAAAAAATTGAAGAAATTAAAAAAAAGATCAAAACTTACCTAAGATGACCAAAGTCATAACATTGAACCAGGCCCCAATATAGGTCATCACCCACAACAGAAGACCAAACTGCAAAATAAGGAGATGAAATATTGATTTACAAGCTGACAAAACCACAGTGGAATTCTTCCAATCTCTATTTTTGCGAATCCCAGATAGGGTTAATGGTATGAAGCTATTCCAGATATATTTACCAGGTTGATCAAGGTCTGGTGCATGGCTAGACTCTACTTTAAGTATCGGAAACATTGGTGAAGGGAAGAGATTAACATGTACAAAGATATTTCTTTTTAACTCCAAGGCTACATATAGGAAGTGTGAGCCGCTGAAATGTAACTACTTTTTTGGTCCAATTTCAGTCACTTCCAATAGTTATTATTTTTTCTTTATCATTTCGGTAATATGGTTTATTTTGTTGCAAAACATTTGACTTATTTCAATCACTTTTTCTGCAATGCATAGACACAGAGCTAAGATACAGGTTATGGCAAATGGGGCTTCAAGGGTTTCAAATACAGACCAACCCATTTAGCTTGTTCATGTATATATCTCTCTCTTTATACTACTTGATTGGATACTCAGACACAGAGAGCAACATTAGAGCAACAATTTAAACTTTTAATCTAAACTCCTTCAAATATTTATCTTTGATCACCCATAAGCAGACTCTACCCAGTAAGTTATCCCTTTGTGCTTACAATAATTCCTTCTTCTGAAATAATCCCCATCCACTGGCAGAATTAAGACCAAAGCACTTCACCTTAATTAAATACACTCCTGCAGTGAGATATACAGTGTCTTAAAGATTACTTGTATTGATGACGTAGTATTCTTAATGCTCTGTTATTTACCTTGACGGAATCTACCAAATCCTCGACCAAAAACAGTCTTCTCAGACGAACAGCATCTTCATTCAGGTGTTGTGCAAGGGCTCTTGCAGCTTGCTGCATCTTGTCCTCAGGAAGAGAGATGTCCTTCTCAAGCCAAACCCTGAGGAAAAGAAAATTTGGACTAAGGCATAAAGCTTACTAGTAACCAAATTTTAAACTCCCTTTACAAACACTTAACAGGTGAATGTCAGTAAATTTTCAATCTTTTCTTTCCAATATTTATAGTACTAATATATCCATCTAAAAAAAAGTTGCGCCATGACTTTCCTCAACGAAACACAAAATGCAAAGTGACAAGAAAAAAATTTCATGCTGAAGTGCCTCCTGACAAAATCTTACATAAGAACAAATTAGGCATCTTACTTGAACGGGTGTCCTTCATTGGACTTCTGCACAGCCTGTAGGACATTTTTGTAGACACGGAAGCTAAAGGTGACAGTGAGAGCAGCCAGGGAGACGTAGGCAAGGACACTGATGACACTGAAGGAGGTCAAGGACAGCAGTATGACCAGGACGCTGCCAAACACAACCCCAGTTTTCTTCACATCGCGCCAGTAGATCAAATCCAGAACTGTAACAAAAGTAGGTGGGAAAAATCACAATACTTTCTATACTGGAGATTAAAGGCCGTCACTCCACACACAACTTTTCTACAATCTAACGCTTTTACTGACATGTATCAAATAACCATGATTGACTTCAAGTTTTTCCACACCAGTATGTTTGTCTAAAAATAAGCTTCATGCAGAAACAATCTGCCTGCCAATTACCTACTACATCACCTCTACCTATAATAAAATAATAATAATAAAGCAGAGTTTCCAGCCCCCTAAACTTCATACATTTCAGATGTTGTTTTACATGCCCTTCACCTGACACCAACCTGCTGTTCCAGTCACCTCCCATGCAGTATCATATTGAAGTTTAGTTAGATTTAAAAAAATATGTGTGTAATTCAATTCAAATATAAAAGTTATATGCGGAATCAAATCCAACACTACAAAGCAATGAGGAAAGATGTTGAGAAATTAAAATAAATGTTCAATTTTGTTAAGTACTGCACAAACTTTTGTCATGTTGGAATGTTATGAAAGTATTTCAATTTTCAACACAACTCGCAGCAAAAGTCTAGCTGGTCACTAAAATGACCTAAATATTTTGGTAGCCACCCGTAAATGCTAAATAAAACTGCAATCAACAATACAATACAAACCATAGTAAATTACATATATCAGAAAATCACCGAACCATGATAAAAATTCCACTGCACTACAGTCTCACCTGTCCGTAAGATATGTGAATGAGAAGGGATAAGTGGTAAATTGTAAAATTAATGTTCAGAGGTCTGTGTTAGTGTCTGTTGGTGAATATAATACACAGAACCACATGCAAAAGTTGCTTTGAGAACCCAGCCTAGTGTTACTATATGAACAAAGAAGCAGCGAGGTGTCTGACAAAAGGTGAATGGGTTTAAAAGGGCAACAAATAAGTCTGGTGGCGGTAGGATTACATTGCCAAGTACGAGAATGCAGTAACACTTGCCAATGTGAATATGGGAGGCTGCTGGAGCAATCTTTTCCTTGCACCATCAGTTTATTATTATTATAATTATGCCATCTCTTAAAATTACATCATTTTTATACATTAAAGCACTGAATATAGCCTATATGATAACTATAACAACTGATGATGTAAGACAAGAGTGCCTCAAGACCACATTCTTGTGTGTGAATACACCTTGGAATGTTCACCCTCACTGCACAAACGCTCTCAATCAAACCGAAATAGTTGTTGCCATGACAACAGGGATGCCCTTTTTAACCCTTTCTACCTTTAGCAGGTGCAATAATATCTGAACACATTCACTTTACCAGCCTTAGGGACTTCGAAAGTCTCTGATGTGTCTCCTGGGAAAGAAAGGGTGCTGATGGTTAAAGATACCACAGAGCTCCATGATAACCACATATTATCAAGTATATCAAAGAGAAACTTCCAATTCCCAATAAATAATATCCATACAACTTGCTTCCTTGTGTACTGGGCTTATGCTAGCATGCATTACTCGAAGATACATCTCTTTTTAGTCAGACCAAAGACTGGCTACTTGGCAAAAAAGAGTTTAAGAAGTCTATATTTTTTTAATTTACGATTTATTTTCATCCAGTGGTATAGTTTTATTTGCTAGCATGAGCCGAGAACAACTCGACCGATTTCACAGTTTACCTGAATAACCTTATCCCATGATAATGTACAGATCAATGACTAAAAAAAGTCTCCACGCATACTTAACACCTAAATGCAACGCTCATTGATCAAAGAGGACATTTTTAATACAGTTTTTCAGTCTTCAGACAGTCGTATATTAAAAGAACTAAACGAAGATTGATTTTCAGATCCCACGAGATGATGGTCTACCTTAGCAAAAGATACTTTATATAGTTATGCATGGATGCATTCATAACCCACTACTTTACACAAGAATAAACCATGAAAATATATAAAATCCCTCGGGGTTATAAGTGCTTTTGTTCAAGACTGCCCGAGCTTTTTTAATATGGCTTGTCATCAAAACACATTACTCTGCCAAGGCAGACAGCAGAACTGACTAGCATTTTATATTAGTCACAGATTGCAAGACAAGAAAATGGAATACTGTTATCCAAGTTGAAATACACCATATGATAATCTAATGAAGTGGCTCAAGCTGAATCTAAAATTCTACTCTTATATGCCAGAGTATTCAATTATTCTGCATGGTGATCTATTAATCATCCTCTATATAGCGATAACCCTTTTTGGTAGAAATTTAGCACATTTTAAGTTAACATGAAGAATCTCATTTTCCATGCTTTGAAGCAGCATTAGACACTCTCAATGTCTGACTCAGTATGCTGTGACTCAAATAACAAAGGAATAATGGAGGCAACTTATTGATCCATCGCAAATGTAGAAACTAACATTGTTCAACCAATGGTGAAATCGCCATGTTATGGGCAGTACGGATCAATAGAATTCAACATTGCAATATTCTGTACACGCCCGTTTCCTCGAACAGTTTATATAGACTAATTTGTGCAAACAGTACGTGATGTAAAAAGATGTAGCAGCCAGTACTATCCATGGTGTGATACATGCTAAATACTTAAGGGAGCAAAAGAGCACCTCCTTAACAGATGTGCACCCATACTGCAAATTACTACAAAAAAAGTCTGCCTACCATTTCCATCTTCTTTTTCAGTAGTTTCAGGTGTAGCAGATGCTGCCTTCTGTGCATTATTTTTCCCCATTTGCAATTCCAATGATTAACCTCTTATTGCTAATCAAACCCACAGCTTGGTCAGTCCTCCTCATGTGCTCAGCTGTGCCACGTGTGAAAGGATCAACCTGTACCCGAGTCAGGTAGTATAAGCTGGCCTATCTCTTACTGCATTATAATGCTGTGCCGTTTAAGATGTTCTACATGATGCTTTTTAACATGATGTATAGAACAAATATCTTAGTGATCACCAGCCAGATAATGCATCCTGGCATGTCAACCTTTATGAGATAAGTATTTTTACCTTTTATGACGATTTTGCATGACTTGACACTTTATTTTTTTACCGCCGTGATTAAGAAGTGGCCAGGTTATCTATCTTGAGATGATAACGAGATAGAAGGCACTGCCTTCAGTGGTTTAAAATTAATAAATCAAATCCTAGTCTATGCATAACATTACAAATTCATGACTATGAATAACAAAAATGAAATGTTAATTAGTCAAGAAATGGCTATGACCTACTTTTCCCAGAATAAGTCAACTGCTGTAAATACTGCCGCTGAATCCTTGTCATTCAGCTTTTAAAATAGAAATATGATGTCTTGAGAGACACAAACCTCTAAGTTAACAAATACAAAATTCTGCCTGAAATTTATCAAGTATGTTTTGCACATCTTCCAGGCAAGAATAAAAGAAATAATTCAAACCATTTTGTGTTCTTTAGAGCATTCAAACCATTTTGTGTTCTTTAGAGCAAAGTCCATTTTAAATGAGAAGACATACATCTAATTCAATCCAATCTTGACCAGTTTTTAAGAACTATTAAAATGAGCATGCAGATATATTTATTGCTTGACCCATATATTGTGTGCAATATGTTCTGTGATGGACCTGAAACCCTACTTAAACCAGTTCATAAGATCAATATCCAGGGATGAATGCCTAATGCAATACCATACACTTATACCTTACACTTAATTTTCCATCATCTTCGCCTGAACTAAAAATGACAGCAATTTCTTTTTGCATGCATATTTTTTGTATCATTACTTTCTGAACAACTTAGCCTTTTTTTTTACTGAAGACAACTGGCTCCAATTAACTTAATGAAGTTGGAATGCTATACATACAACCAATTCTAATTTAGGAAAAGATAATCTTAATGGGTTGTTACATAAGGATATGATAATTGTTAAGTTGTGCAACTGCACTAAATATTCATAAGTAACCCTCAAATCATCTGTATGATGATACAAGTTACTAAACTCCACTGATTAATTAATAATAACTTACTTGGCTATAGAAGCTGTTTGGATCCAAATCCTGTTACTTTGAAATATATCAAAGCATTTTACTATTCTCAAGTTGGTTTTAAGCATTCACATGATATTTGTATCTATAAATAGGATAGTTAACTTGAGGTATGATACCTATTTCTGTTTGGACACAAGAACTCACCTCTTGGGTCTATTTTTAAGTTCTTTCCAAATCCTCCTGGAAATACAGCAAAAACATGTATCAGTGTATTCTTGCACAGTCCTTAAGTTTTGTAACATAAGAAGTAAGAAGCTGTAAAGAGAACGTTCATTTAATTTATAAACTCATTTTGGTACTTTCTGACACTTTCGTAAAATCTTTCTAAAGACAGCAATCAGTTTTTCATATCAATGTTAACACAACAGAAATTCAATCTAAACAATGTGTAAATACAACAAACGTAGCAAATAATGTAAGTCTTTTTTGAGGGTAAGCATTTTCTTATATCAATTCATTAGTATACACTGCAGCTACACACAAAATCGAAGAAAAATTTTCTGTAAAAAAAAAACATCAAAATAAAGTAAATGTGCAATTATCCCCAACTTTTGTCTCGAAAGTACAGGGATAATTAACTTGTAAGACTGTGCATGACTCCTCACAAAAGTGAATCTCACATCATGATTTAAAGTTAAGATTCCACTAACATGACTATCAAAAACAAAAACTACAACAACTCTGTGCTCAATTAAATAATATCACACATATCAATTACTAACAAACATGTATGTTTTAATCACACATAAAAATTCAATGACACATGCTTTCCCACAACCTCCCAGGAATTTAACCAGCCAAATGACATTATAATTTGATAATTGGATGACACTGTCTAGTCAACTATTATTTGTAACATATACTTTGTCTATTAGGCTAGTTAGCATCATCAATTGATGAGTCAGGGTCAAAGTCCATCATACCAAGTTCACATGGTCAGCAGCAGTACCACCAACTGTCTTGCTGAGAAGTACATTTTTTTTACCTTTTTTTTACATGTATTTTATGGTAAGATTTCACTTCATATGATCAACAGAAGTTATTTCACTGCTTTGTAAATTTTGTTGCAAAATTCACAAAAAAATGAATTCAGAATAAAAAATAATCATGCCAACTTTCAAATTAATGTACTGGACTTTTTTTAAAAAAAATTCAACTTAATATATATCTTTAAAAAATTGACCATAAAATCAATGAAGCAGTTTTGGTTTAGAATGTAAAAACAATTTGAACCGAGTGACAAACAAAAATGGATAAAACAATTTGTAAATTTCGATTTGGGAAATTTCACCTGGAAATGAGGAAGGTTCTTTGCCCCCTCTCAGTTCTTTCCTTGGAGGTGGAGTGGGCTCTCTAGTAGAAGTGATTTCAGGCTCAGGCTCATAAGTGGGAGGTGCAATAGGTTCTGTTTTCTCTGACGAACTTTCACTGAAACTACCCAAAAGATCGCCTGTCGCCGCCTCCTGCTCCGGCTGTTTTGCGGCAGAATACATGTCCTCCTCTTCCGTGGTGGTGGTACTGACAGGTTCTACCTTTTCGAAATCTCCAAAATTGTTGTCTTCATTTTGTCCGTTGCTCTGGATTGGACTCTCAAAAGGATCCATGATACTGTCCCCAAAAGAGCAAGGTTATGAAAATGCACTGAAATTCAAAAGGTTAGTCTGCTCGCAAAATTTTGTTTTGTTCCTCTGTCCCGTTAACCTGCAGAATGGCTGCTCGAGATATGAGAATGACGTCATATACCTTCCCAGATCGCATATCATATAAAACCAAGATTGCGAGAAGTGGCCAGTAAATAGTTCTACGTTTCAAACGAATATCAACTGAATGTATCGTATTTAAAATCTTATTAGAATTAGAAAACTTAAATTTACTGTAAAATATCATAGCGCTAGTTTTCACGAAAAGAAGCAAACCGTCTCTTAATCCATGTTTTCGTAACAGCTCTGATATTCGAGGATCGAGAATGGATGGGGATGGGTCGCTCTCTAACGGCACCAAGATAAAGGTGCCAAACGGATACATAAATGGGTATGGACATCATCAGAATGGTCACATTAAAGGACAACAGAAAGATGAGGTATATAGTCCATAACATTGGTTATTATAATGCTCCTATCCAAATTTTTAATTTAAATACAACTCTGAAGTCAGTAGACCAATTTTACGTAAATGCAAAGTAAACAGTACTACTACTAGTAGTGACCCAACATTTAGTTACACTTGTGCTAATAGTAATGATTCAACCAACCCGGCATTAGTATTATTAAAGATTTTTGGTTAGAGCGACTATGGGTTTACATTCTACCATATATCCAGTAATGGCCTGATTTTGTATCAGATCACCTGATCCGGCGTTTGTATTGCTTTGGTTACAATTCATGCCGCAGTAAAAGACTGAGTCATCTGGTGTTGCGTAAAAGCAATTGCCTGTATATATAAATCTAGGGGCTTCTAATTTGAATTTTACAAATACATATCGCTTCTCAATATTTAGATCAATTTTCACAGAGAATTCAATATTTTAGATACGCTGGAGGCAATTCAGATAATTTCATGCATCAAAATTGAAACAGTGATTAAAGGTATAAATAGAGTGTTAGACTCCATTCCCAGAGTTTAGATCGATCCAACTAGATCGACCTAACTCCCTGGGGGTTTACGCTAAATAGCTGTCAGCCGAGCGGGCACAAAAGTTAATTACCCCCTTACAGCTTGTAGTAGGCGGGACGGACATTTAAGCCGGATTATCTGACAGTAATCTAGTAAGACTCCCTA